ATTATTATCTTTTAACATCACCTTGTTTAAAGTCTTAACATAAATATATTCTTACCATTGACAGAATCCAGTGGCCTCCATCAACGTTTTTCTTTTACTAAAAAAAGGGCATTCAAGGTCCTCCAGTTGTGCCTTAATGCACAATTTAAAGAAAACATATTTTTTATCAGGTGTTAGAAATATATTGATCATCCATGTATTAGTTCTTGTCCTTGCCCAGGAGACGGCATCTTCCATTTCAGCTTCAACAAGTTCAGGCAAATGTCTTATAGTAGTACCACCCTTTTTCATCAACACTTCTGAAATCATGGCCATATTTTCCCAGGGCGACACTTAAACGAGATCCCTTGAGGATATGTTCTGGTAATAACCAGTGCAAAGAAGGTGATGTCCCAACTCTTTGTTTCCATTAGCCTCCAGATTTTTAAAGTGCTAACATAAAAAGGTCACAAACACTTTACTCGATTCCTTGGATGATAAAAAAAAAAATTACTGACCTTTTGAGAAAAAAAAAGTCCTCAAAGAAATCTGTAAAAACTGTGGCCTTAATGCTGCTTTTCTACTTTATAAATGTCGCAGACATTGCCCTCCTTCTTCTGCTGACAAAAACAAAATAGTAGGGACCCAATTCAACCTAATTCAGTTAATTTATATAGCACTGATTCACAACACATGTCATCTGAAGCAGGGGTGGATTTAGGAGATCTGGGGCCCTAGGCAAAGACAGGCAGGGGGCCCTCTGAATTGAGAAAACCACATAAAACAGACCAATTATACAGGTGCAGACATTTTAATAGAATAGACATACATTGTTCTATGTTTTGTCCCTCTCTTCTTTTCCCTTTTCTTGTTGTTTTTCTCTCTATGTTTTGTACTCAGCTGAGTTTTCATGCTGTCTCAAAAGGAATGAAAGATTTTTTCCAGTCTGTTCTCCATTTTTCATTTGTATGAAATAAAAGCGGCATGAATCATGACAGCAGACAACAGAGAGGAGAGCAGGAGGCGGGGCAACACATCTACTTGCTCTGAAGAACAATGCTTTTATATGTCGTCACCGAAGTCTCCACTTGCAGAAAAAAGTCACTAGATTTAGCACTAGGCGCTTTTTTTTTTAAAATCAAAGTGCTAGAGGGGTCTGAAAAGTTGCTAAATATAGTGACAAACGTGCTAAGTTGGATACAGAGCTCTTTGCACCGTATATTTTAAAATGGTTTGCTGCTGTCTGTTTGGATCTTTCTTAACATGTTCAGCAATTTTTTTTAAATCAAAATCATAACTAATGTGCACAAATAAGGAATAGTTGTATTAACCATACATGTTAACAGAGTTTTATGGGCCCCCCAGGAACTTGGGGCCCTAGGCAACTGCCTAGTATTGCCTAATGGTAAATCCCCCCCTGATCTGAAGGCACTTTACAGAGACAGTTCAGCCAGATCATACATCCATCCACCCATCCTGTTACGCTTATCCCTGCTGGGGTCGTGAAGATGCTGGTGTCTATCTCCAGCTGTTTATGGGCGAAAGGCGGGGTCCATCCTGTACAGGTCACCAGTCCATCACAAGGTCCAGATCATCCAGTCAAATTGATTAAAAGTTTTCTATCTAAGGAAAACCAGCTGATTGAATCGACTCATTGACTCTTCAGCAATCCCTCACACCAAGCATGCTTATAGCGACAGTGGAGAGGAAAAACTCCCTTTTAACAGGAAGAAACCTCCAGCAGAACCAGGCTCAGTGTGAGCGGCCATCTGCCAAGGCTTACTGGGGTTCAGCATAATCTGTCCCAAAAGTCGAAGTCAAAATCAAAAATCGAAGCCTGTAATTTCAATAAGTACCAAAACAGCTAAACAATGCCATTAAGATGTAGAGAAAAGATTAGTAATAAGTGTGCAACCTCTATAAGAAATTGGTGGTAGAAGCCAGTGTCATTCCTTAAAGGAATAGTACACCCAAAACATGATTAGCCTTCGTTTTCTACTCACCCCCATGCTGAACAACACTCTGGAGTACTTTTTTGATATCTCAAATGCATCTGGAGATCTGGGAGGCTTCTTGCTGTCTGCTGACATTCAAATAATGGAGGTCTATGGCGCCCGAGACAGAAAGGTCCATAAAAGTCCACAAAAAACGTGTCAATATTCCTCCATACTGCTCGTCCAATGTATTCCAAGTGTCCTGAGTGGGTAGCGTCCAGAATTTACTCGAAACGAAGTAATTTACGGTAGAATGTTTTTAGAGCATAAACAGTAGTGTATAGGATTTCCTAAAAGCGCGATCACGACGCTACGGAAGCCGGCAGACCAAACCAGATGAAAGTGCGCATTCAGCGTCTGCTCTGCCAATAATGCAAGCGTAGAAGAAGAAATGTGCTGTTTACCTGTGCAAAGAAAGAAACAACGAAAGAAAAATGTCTGAGGACTTCAGTGTTGAGGAAGAGCATGAGTTCTTTGCCGAGCTGAATACGCTGGCTTGGTGTGCCGGCTTCCGTAGCGTCGTGAACGCGCATGTGCGCGCTTTCAGGAAATCCTATACACTACTGTTTATGCTCTAAAAACATTCTACCGTAAATGACTTCGTTTCGAGTAAATTCTGGATGCTACCCACTCAGGACACTTGGAATACATTGGACGAGCAGGATGGAGGAATATTGACACGTTTTTGTGGACTTTTATGGACCTTTCTGTCTCGGGCGCCATAGACCTCCATTATTTGAATGTCAGCAGACAGCAAGAAGCCTCCCAGATCTCCAGATGCATTTGAGATATCAAAAAAGTACTCCAGAGTGTTGTTCAGCATGGGGGTGAGTAGAAAATGAAGGCTAATCATGTTTTGGGTGTACTATTCCTTTAAACCTACCCATCATTTCAACAAAACCTGACGACTTTTTCATAACCTCCATGTAATCTCCCAAGTAAACACCTGAATATATAAAAAACATTTTTCACCCAATTTAATTCACCAGGTCGGTAACAAAGCTTTACTCTTACTCCAATTTAATTAGGATGAAGAAATTCTACCAAAACATTAAATCATTTCTATTAAAGTAGGAGCAGCTGACCTTTCTTGTATAAACACAATATCAGCATATGCAGAAAAATGAAAAAGGTATACAAGTTCCTTTTAATGTAACATTTTTCTAATTTTACATCATAAAGATTCAATACTAAAAGAAAACAATCCTGACATTGCACAACCTGGTCAAATAAATCCCTTTACATTAACAGGATCACTTAAACAACAGGTGATCTTCAACACTCTTTCAAACAAAAACAGGTTTTAATCTTGAAAACCCAAATAATGGAGAAACCAAAAGCCTTTAAAGATATATTATGAATATTTCATCATTCTATCTCTATTCTCCCACTCTGCAGAATCTAATATGAATGTGGTTAAAGGGTTGATTTAAATATTTCATTATAAAAAGCTGCTTTTCAGGCATTGCTTCAGCGCTATGACCAAATGTTGCCATCAGCTATTTAAACCTCAGATATTCATTTAAGTTGAAGAGAATTAGACTTTTTTTTTTCTCCAGACAAGCAGATTTATTTAATAATTAGATTTTTTTTAATTATTTGTATTTAATTCAATATTAGATCATTTTAATCAGACAATAAAAAGAGAAAATGAATGAGGAAATGAATCATTAAGACCATAAAAAGTTCAGATGAGTAAACTGCAGTCCGGTTAGTTTCAGTCTGTGTGATGATGGATTAGGATGTCATGCGGTACCAGCCTGACCTGCAAACCGCTGCGTGGGTGGCTGCGTCGGTCCGACTTCATTCCAGACATTTCCCACCTGCTCCGCATTGTTGACTCCGGATACAAAAAGCCTCGACAAATACTTCAGAAAATTCATCTCGGCCCCTTTGTTTGTTCTATTTTATTTGAGCTTACACATGACAAAGACTTCACAATGAGAAACTATGCAGCACAAAGTGCAGAACATGGAGCAAGCAGAGCAGAAAGCATTACAGGACGAGGAGACGTCTGCGTTCACAGAAAGGCACTATGCATCACCAGGCACTGCGGTGTTAGCGAAAAGCTAATATATCCCTCTAAAACATGGAGCAGTTGCTGCACAGTCCTCTGCAATAACGTGACATTTTACTTCATGTTTAGTATAACAGGCACTTAAAAACAGTGTTAGGTAAACAGAGACAGTACCGAATATTACATATCAGTTTAAAAACATTTACATTTTTTACAGAGAAAGGTAGAAACACAAATTTACCAAAGCTAATAAAATACATTCCTCAAAGAGACAGAGATCCACCAACGACAATTTAGAACTAAACTTAAAAAGGTAAATATATCTTTTTGTGCTTTTTTTAACAACATAAATAATTTGATTATCAAATGAATATAAGAATCTACTTTGTAGATAAAGAGATAGTCCGACACTGCAGAGTGTCAGTAAAACGTGAGTTCTAGCTAACATTAAGGCATGTGTGGAAAGACGGGGGAAAAGCTTTGATCTGGGCCAGCCTCGGCCGGCTGTGTGTGCATCGTGAACATCAGTGGTACCGCATTCTTCCCTTCTCTTAAAACAGACAGATTCACATTGATAAAGACGCAGAGCCCAGGTGGGTAACGTCAAACCCACCCGAAAATGACTCCTCCTGGAACAATGGAGGCGTCCAGTAAAACAGGAAACAAAACAAAACAAAACGTGTATTTCTATTTACACCGTGTTCCTGACATGGCACGGAGCTCCAACACCAACTTCAGAGGCTGTCTCTCAAATACAAAAGGACAGTAACACAAACCAAGGTGTGATTTAGCAGCTTATTGGGTATTGCATTCTAAAAAAAAAATCTTCCTCGACATCAGAGAAGCTTCACAGCACTTTTTGTTTTCCCTCTGTGATCATTTTGTTTAATATTTTTGTAACGAGGTCCTTCATGTCTGCAGTGATGATGCGGATCTCTTCGTCCACAATAAAACCACCGCCTTGCAAAGCGACAGGCATTGCTGCGCTCAAACTTTTTATAGTAGCAACCGTTCATAGTCGTACTGTGCTGCAAACATTCTGGTGTTATGCATAATGATCCATTATTAGTTTGATGTATTTTGGCACAGTTGTTTTTAATGCGTGGGGATGCTGGTGCAAAAAACCAAAAGCAACAGCGCTGTATCAAAACACAACCAGTAGGTGACCAGCGCAGCGCTGCGTGTCGCTGAAGGCCGAGCTCAGTGGAAGGAGGTGTCGTTGTAGGAGCTGGAGCTGGGGAAGGTGGGGATGGGTTTGTTCCAGGGCAGAGTGCCCGTCTGGTCGGATGTAGGCAGGCTCAAGGTGCTGGCGCTCTTCGTCTTGTTCTTCAGACCCCAGCTGAGGAATGAGGACTTCTTGGCCACCTTGCGGGATTTGGAAGCCTTGTCATCGTCGTTATACGCCAGGCAGATCATGGAGTAGGTCTTGGGCAGGTTTCCACTGAAGGTGGCGCTCTTGGTTGGCTGGGTAGACACATTTAATGTTTTATTAGTTTTATTTTGATGCTTGTAATCCATTTTTAATGTAACTAATTATGTCAAATCTAAGGCTATTAGAATTAAAAAAAACTTGTGTCCCATACTGTAAAATAAAGAGGTCTCTCCTAAAGATTAGGGGAGACCAAACGTGGATCATCT